ACACAGCTAGTTTAAGCTGTGATACACATACATGTGCACACACATATAAATTTTTGTGGGAAGTGTTTATGAATTTTTCCTGTATTCTGTCCAGGCAGATTAGTATCTGGAGTTCTCAAGTAGGATTGATTTATGTTCTAAAGTATAATTAGGTGGATTCATATAGATTCCATTGTTGGTGTTTATAACTATTCAATGCAACTTTTCCAGACACAAATAAATAAGAATGTATAGTTGCCAAGTATATTGAGGGCTTGTTATGTGCCAAATACTGCCCTTACCTGTTTGTATGTGTTGCTTTCTTTATGCCCTGTGGAGGGGCTGAGCCCCAGATCATATCTTGATTAGGGAACTTGCCTTGGTACTCAGAGTTTGACTCCTGACCTCATGCATTGTTGTCTAGAATACCCCTTCATTCTTCTGATTCCCACTTGCCTACCATCTACCTACATAGTTCACAAACGGTGGTATTTAATAATGCACATTTTTTTTTTTTTTACTTCATAGCTGAATTGCAGATAAGAAAACTAAGGTTGAAAGAGATTGACCCATCATGACTTACAAAACAGTTAAGTTTATTAGTGATTTCTGTAAGACCTTCAAACCATGTCTTTGGCAAGATCCGTGAGCTCAGACCTCTGAGCCTTCCCAGCTAAGTGGAAGTGAAGCCTACAGTTTCTGACTTGTAACCTCAACCCTTCTGTGATTATGAGTTGTAGCCTTTTTTAATGTAAGGTGCTGTGGGTCTCTTTCCTTGAGGAGCTGTGAAAGTGGTCCTCAGCCATCCTAGGATGGCTAGAGGAGGACTTCTCTGTGACCCTCCTGTCAGGTGGGGGAGCCAGACTCTCAGCCCTTTCTGGCAATGTAGCTTTTATGAATAGCTTGATATATTTGTCACAGGTGTGACAGCTAAGAAGCTTGTGAGCAGAGCAGTGTGCCTCAGGGCCCAGCTGTGTGGACTCTTTGAGGCACTGCTGCTGGCCAGAGCTGACCCAGTGTGAGACCTTCTGCCTCCAGCCAGCATGTTCTCATGTGCTGTGGTGACTGGCTTGCATTTGGCACAGAGCTATAACGACTTTATTATTATTATTATTATTGTTTCTTTAATTAAAAAAAAAAAGATGGTCAGGAGTCAGGTATTAGGGGAAAACCTGATAGAATCACAGAGCAACTGAGAAAACAATCAGTGACCTGTATTCTCCCTGATAGAAAGGATAGCCCATCACCTCCTTGTTCCTCTTGTGTGTCCGTCTATCTCCGAGTCAGCCAGAAAACTCAATGGTCCACTCCTGTCAGCTGAATGTGGGCCCTGCCCTCTGAACCAAGGCCTGACCGATTCCATTGGCACAAACAAATCTCCTGCAACACTGAGGAACCCAAGAACTGGTTTTCCCTCTTTACCCCAGTGTATTTGTCTGTGATCATCCCCAACAAATGCTTCATTGCACACGGACAGCCCCGAAGCATAAGTTGATTTTGTTAAGAACAGTAGGTAATGTGTTTAAATAGGTGGTAGTTAGTATGGTCAGTAGGTGATTTATAGTGTTGAAAACAACAGAAACATAATGTTTTGTATTCCTGCTGAGGAAGGCCATTTCTGTTCTGCTTGATCCATAGTAGGAGCATTCTTGAAGAATTTTATCCTTTGGTACCTACAACCTTTTAGGTATCATTAGCCTTACATGTATCTGGTGTTCTGCCCCTTACCTGAACTGAGAAATGTTTGTTTTTACAATGATTTACTTAAAGCATTAATTACAAACGGTTCCATCCTCTGTTGATGCTTGTTGGGCTGTGAGGCAGATCTCTTGATCTTCAGCCTGTCTCAGTTAGAGTATGGAATTCCTCTTGGAAATATATATCTTATACATGGTTTAGCTTTAATGATAGATGCTCATGGAGAGACTTTAAGGTGGTATTTTAAAGGTGGAACTTCTGAATTATTCAGTGTTTAATTTTTTGGTGGCATTTATAAATATTGTAGTGCTTTGTGTTTATAAAAAATTCTAAGAACAAGTAAAAGAATCTCAGGGGACTGCAGGCTTTCCTGAGCTCCAAATGAAATTGAAGTACAGGGTTTTGGTTAAAGTAGTGATAGTGTTCATAAGTTTGAGAAAGTATATTCATGGAAATATCATTACTTCTTTTTATAACTGTAGTAATGGTTGCTGCTGAGAGCAAATAAAATATTGCCCAATTAGTAAATTAAATGATTTGTGCCGTGCTACTATCACAGGTCTTTCCTAATGGTCACTGATCACACCTTAATTAGGAGTCATTGAGCATTATGGGTAAGAAAATACCATCAAATGGAAGACTGATTAACTAGTAGAACCATATGCAAATTGAACATACTGTTTTGTTTCTTGTGTGTGTACTAGTTAGATTTTGATTCCTTTGTGCTATTTGTTTTGGATTATAATGCAGAGGGCCTAAACATTTTGGGTTAAAACAAGATGTTTGCTCTGAACTACTCTGGTGGGTTTGTGAGTGAAGGCTGCTTTCCTGGGGTGGAGGAGATAATACTCTGTGATGCCATGTCTGGTTAGTCAGTGACTTCTGGAGTTGCAGGGAATAAGACAGAATTTGTGTATGCTAAACCATACTCTCTTGGGTAGGCCAGCACTGGTCCAGAGCAATGACACATCTTCCTGTTCTTACAGTGTTTCATTGCTGCCTAGCAATGGCCCTGGGGATGCGCTTCAAAAGTTCCACTTTTATTTGAAAACTACTTCTTTCTGCTATTTTTTCTTCCATATAATCAGTATACACATCTGTGTGTGTGTGTGTGTGTGTGTGTGTGTGTGTGTGTGTGTGTATGCGTGCATGCACGCACAACCCCACATGTGCCCCTGTGTGTGCCTGTGCACATTATACTCATATATGCTGTGTATGTGCTATATGCAAACATGGACTATGTAGATGCCTAAATATAACGTGAATAACTGTAAAATCTCATGTTACAATTGTCTGTCCTAATAGTGCTATCTGAAGAAGAATCGATTTTCTTAAACAGCCTTAGGCAATGCTGGATGGATACTTACAAAAGGGTGCTTCATAAAATTGAAAAAGGAAACAAAGAGGCTTACCATAAAACTGTGGTGATGTTTTAGAGAGTTTACTTTTTTAAAGGCACTATTTGGGGCTGGAATGAAGATGGAGTTTCTGTTCCGCCTGGTCCCGCCGCCCTTCAGTCGCATAAACACATAGAAACTTATATTAATTGTAAACTATTTGGCCAATGGCTAAGGCTTCTTATTGGCTAGCTCTCTCTTAATTATTAACCCATTTCTATTAAACTATGTATTGCTATCAGGCTTTGACTTACCCATAATGCTCCGTCATGTTACTCCTTTGGCAGCTACATGGAGTCTCCCTCGTGACCTTTCTCTTCCCAGCATTCTTCTCATCTGGTAGCTCTGCCTATACTTCCTGCCTGGCTACTGGCTAATCAGTGCTTTATTAAGCCAATAAGAGAAACATATTCACAGCATACAGAAGGATATCTCCATCATCTCTTCTTTTCTATCTAAATAAAAAGAAAGGTTTTAACCATTCTTTTTATTTAGATAGTTCAAGCAAGAACTATGGTTAACAATATTTAGTTCATTAACATTTGGCAAAGTTTAAAGAAAATATTCTGTCATCTATCCTATCTTTGTGAGTCTAAAGTTTTACATGTAACTTATCTTTAAGAAAAACCATAACCATAACTAACTGTCTTTAATTCTATCAAAGACCTCAGAAGGATAATGTATAAACTCTAAAATTGACAGACACATCTCACTGCCTGGACAGTCACCTAAAGTTTCTCTGTAATGTTGGGGTATCCATCTTCAGCCCATAGGCCATAGTGTCTGGCAGACTTTTTAATGAAGTAGGAAATTTGAAAACGTCCCACCTGTATTGGCAGTTTGTCAGTCATTTTTCTCTGCGTTCTGCAGATTGTCTGGCAGACTCTTCCGTGACTCAGAAACCCTGAAGTACTGTTCCATCTTGCTTTGGCAAGTTCAACAGTCACTTAAACGTAAATGGAGTTCTTAATTGGTCTAAGTAATAAAAACCTACAGTCAGATATAGAGATCAGAGAGAAGGAGGAGCAAGCCACAGCCATACCCTACCTTCTTAGTGTCTTAGCAAACAACAGTGTGAGTTCCTGTTTCTCCCTGCTTATATCCTGTTTATGCCCAGCTCACTTCCTGTCTGTCTGTACAGTCAGTCTCTATGGTTAGCTAGTGGCAAGCTCCATTCTCTGACCTTCAGACAGGCTTTATTTGTACAAGCAAGATATTGTCACACTGGAGAGAGGGCTCCACAGTTACAAGTACTTGTTGTTTTTCCAGAGGACACAGGTTCAGTTCCCAGCACCCTCATGGCCCCTTATAGCCATTTGCAACTCCAGTTCCTAAAGGTCAGACACCTTCTTCTGACCTTTACAGGCACCAGACAAGCATGTGATGCACATACATACGTTCAGGCCAAACACATACACAAAATGAAATAATCTAAAAGTGGACACATTCAAATAAGTGTTTACAGGAGGGGTAAGCGTTCTGGCTCTCCCCCCCCCCCCCATATTCCAAGAGGAGGTGGTTATGCTTTATTTTCTATCCCAAGGTTGGTATCACAGCGCTCTTAAACTGTGTCGGGTTATACGGACAGGAAGATTTATTCTGGAAGACTGTATTGACTGGTTCATGGGTTACCTACCTAGGTCATGAGGAAGACCCTGATGGTAAAGGTGCAGGAGGGGTGAATGGAATTGTCACATTCAATGTGGCAGCGAGCAGTCTTAGTTTTGAAAGAATGCTTCCTATATCTTAACAATTTAAAATGTATAGAAATTAGTTGGTATGTTTTATAACTGGCCCTTTTATCTTTAAAGGTTTACACATTCAATTTCACTACGATTTGTGTGTGTATTTTATTGGAAATACTATATTGTCCTATATTTAAAGTCACTTTATATTCAGTAATATGTAATTCTTATTTTTAATCAGAAACTGAGGCTCCTTGAGGAGCTTGAAGACACCTGGCTTCCTTACCTGACCCCCAAAGATGATGAGTTCTATCAGCAGGTAAGATGTAGTATTTTTATCAATTTTGTAGCCTCATATTTGATCAGTGAAATTGCTAGGTACAGAGGGAGGCCTGATCCCAGGCAGTGCTGAGCGTGTAAAGCACATGCCTCTGTTCACAGTCTGCTTTCTCTGTGGACTCTGTCTGGGCACAGCCATTTTCACTTCCCCGTGCTGGCTTTTTGTTTATTTGTTTTGTTTTTGCCCTGCATAGACTATAACCTTGTGCTCCCATCCTGTTACTGGATGGCACCTTTGTGAAGATTTTGCCACATAATCATACCTCTGTGTGAGGCTGCACCTTGTAAGTGTGCTGTACTGACCGTCTGTCCCATTGAATAGCAGCATTGGGATTCTGCATCTTTGCCATCACTCAGTAGTCTAAAAGCATGTTGCTGTACCCAGCTTCTCAAAAACTGTCCCTGGCCATTCTTTTTCTGGGTTTTTTGGGTTTGACATTTGCATGTGTGAGTTCATGATTGAGTTCATGATGAGTTGCATCTAACCTGATATCCTGGGAGGACTTGGTCAGTTCAAGGGATATGTGGTCTCCAGTGTCTGAGATTGTAGAAGGGACTAATGAGTTCTTTTCCTCTGGTTCCACCAGATTCTCCAGGCGGTGACTGAGTTAGCCTGATTAGGGTCACAGTGTTTGCTCAGCCTAGTTCATGTACCTCCTTGAACTGGGGTTCAATGGGAGCAATCTGACTCAAGCCATATAGCCGAGTGTGTGGGGTTAAGATGAATGATGTAGCTGAGAAAAACTTTCTGCTTCTAAATAAGAGAGAGGTGTGCTAGACAAGCAAAATATGGTGAAGTTTCACCTAATTTTTCCCTATTAGAACATATATTTGAAGTATGGGACTATCACCCTTGGTAGTGCCTGCTACTCAGTGGTAACCTCTACAATGGGGGGGGGGGTAAGAAGTCATTGGCCCACCTGGAATCCAGTTTCTAGGTCCCTCTCATTCCTAAGGCCTTGTCTTCAGCTCTTCACTGCCCTGTACTTATCAGCGCTCCTGGTCTATGGTTTTCTTCTCTGCCCTGTCTATCCTTGAAATCATGCCAGCCCCTTGCTTTACATCCATAGTGAACTGCCATTGCCTCATCCCCCTTACTCCTTTGCCATTTACCCATGTTGCATATTAGGGTAGTGTTGCAGCTTCCCATGTAGAGCCTTCTCCCCCATCTTCGGTCATCGTGTTCCCTGCCTGCAGAACACCTGTGTGCTAGAGGCTGCTAATAGTTTTTGGGCCATTCCATAGTTGTTCCTGACACCCCTGATCCCCGAGGCTTTCCCTGCACCTTCTGTTCTTTATCTCTATCTCCTCACCCATTTATAGTGTTAGTTATTTTTGTTTGTTTGTTTTGGTTTTGGTGTGTGATGGGGGATTGAGTGCAGAGCCTTACACATGCCAGGCAAATGATGTACCAATGAGCCATAGCCCCAGCCAGCCCTGAGATGATTTTGTTTTCAAATATCCTTTCTCTAATCTTCTGTACTTTATTCCGTGTCTAGAACCTATCATGTGCTTAGTTTGCTTGAGTGAATGAATGAATGATGAATATATTAGCACTTATTTGTTTTTGAGACCGAGTCTTACTATATAGCTTAGGCTGTTTTTAAAAGAGTATTTTCTTTTCCATGTGTATGCATATGTGTCTGTACAGATGTTTGCAGAAGCCCATAGAGACCAGAAGAGGGGGAATCAGAGTTCTAGGTGGTTGTGAGCTGCTGAGTGTAGGGACTGAGCTCCTTTGAATGAGCTGTACGTGCTACTGACGGCTGAGCCATCTTCCCAGGTCATTTCCCTCAGGCTGGTTTTGAATTCACATCCTTCTGACTCAGCCTCCTTAGGGACAGTTACAGGCCTGCATCATGATGCCTTGTTACTTTAAAAGTCAGTTACATAATGAATCTAGTGTGGTTTGCATTTTGTTTTTTTCCACATACACACTCCTCAGGAGATGACATCTTGAAATAGAGGATTGATTAAAGAAAGATCATAGTCATTAGTGATAGGTTGCTCTCATTTTAGCTTATCTAGTTAGGCAAATTGTCCACAGCAAACATGTATTTATTTTGTAGTAGAGAAAAAGTAGTTTTAAAAAAGCCCCTTTAAAGCAAGCCAAAGCCGTCAACTTTGAGGTGCTTGTTGATACTCCCATTGACAAATACCTTCTGGTAGTCAGTTGTCTCAGTAGCTTCCAACCACTTCCACTTTTGTGTGGTGTAAGAAGAACAACATGAAGGACTAAATGGAAAAGGTTATAGCCCCCTGTGCTCTGACCAGCCACACCCCAGGGACAGGGGGGGAAAATCCCAGATGCAAACAGATACCGCCTCCAGGCTCCTTAATTTCCTAAGACCCACCCTAAAAGTTAGTTATCATTATCTAATCCATATCTGCTAATAAGCCCCAGTGCTTCTGTAAGACTCTGGTTTTACAGGCTGTTGTGTGGTAATATACTTACGGACCCACGGGGTGGTTGAGCTGGCAGGAAAGAATGAGCCCAGGAGTTCAGAGCTGGACCTTCAGCAAACAGAATGTGATAAGACCAGAAGCAAAACAGCAACAGACACAAACGGAGCAAACTTACGCTCTTAAGAGATAAAGTAAAAGTATGTGTAATTATTAGCACATGAATTAGTGGATCCACAGTGGTGTTCCTGTATAGTGCCCATGCTGACCTCTGCCCTTGAGACTGCTTTTCTTCTTCCTCGACATCCTTCCCACTCTTCACGTGCCTCTTCTTTCTGTCCCTGCTCTGCACTTTCTTTCCTCATCTCTAGAGACTTGTGTTCAGTTCTGTTCTATAGGATTCTTCTTTTTATGGTTGTGTAGTATTCTAATATATATATGTATATACACACACACACATACACACACATATACACATACATACACACACATATACTATATATTTATATGTAGTGTTTTGTTTACCCATTTACTGTAACTGAAAATATTTATAAATGACAGAAATGAATGGTTCAGGTCTGACATTGGGTCCCTTACGCAGGATTGCAGTAAAATTTTGATGTCATGCACCTACGATGTGGGCATGTTGGTTGTCTCTTTGCGTGTGGCAGGCATTGTATTGTTTGTGATTGCTCTCATATTCAGTTGCCACACCAGCCTCGTTCGTTTCTCCAGGAGTCAGCAACTGTCTCCCTCAAATTTGAGGTACCCAGGGCAGGTCTTATCTACTGTTTCAAACATCGGGAGAGAGTAAGCTCCAGTCTGGGTGTCAGTATTGAAGGCCAGGCTCAAAAGGATGGACTCCGAGGCTGGACTCTTTCTCCTTCTCTCTGTGCCATGTCCCAGTTCCAAACACCTGGAGAAATAAAGAGCCAGAAAACAGCAGTGTCAACAGCCAGAAGCTGAGTAGCAAAGGGAACTTCAGTTAGCCTGCCTCAGGACACCAGGAAATGAGCAGTGACTTAGTCAGAAGATGAGCTCTGTTCCCCAGTTCCCATAATGTTCCCTGGGAAGTTTTGCAGATCCCCAGGCTCCCTTACAGTGCCCTTTCCTCATGTGCTAGGCAGCACCAGTGCTGTGCCCAGAGCATCACACACATTAGCTTACTTCAATACCGCCATAGTCCTCCATGGTAGCTGTCGTAAAGCTCCCTTTTGAGCAGAGGAACCTGAGGTTCAGGGAGGGTTAAAGCCTTTTGGAGATTTACAGGCAGGTAGTCTAAGGACCAGGGCTTCTACTACCTGGCTGTAGTGTCAAGCTCTGCGTTACACTCTGCTACTTCTGTCTTATCCTGTATCTCTCTCTCTTAGTCTTTCTGACATGTCTTGCCTCTTTTCCAGTGTCCCCAAATTCTCCCCGTTCTTGCTTCCCTATGACCACCCCACCCTGATTTCATACTAGAAGGTTCTGCCTCAAAGTCTGCCCATTACCCCGTCTCACTCTGACCCGTATTAGTTGACTGCACACTCTTTAGCCTCCCTACAGCCCCCCTATAATGTTTTAGGAATTAAAGTTGTGAAAGGTGACAGAGGGTCCCTGCTGTTCTTGAGCTTCCTTTGGGGGATGGATAGTGTAGGAGGTATGAAGGAGAGCCACTTGATGAGAGGTTCAAGTGGGAGGTCCTGGGTCTAAGGAACAGCTAGGGCTGTGAGATGTGTTTGAAAAGGCAAGCACCTGAAGGTGGCAAATGTGAGTGAGAGATGAGAGTAGAGGCCAGATGTTGACAGTTGTGGAGAACTTGCCCAGGAGTGGGAAGAGGTGACTAGAGGTTTAGTGTATGCCTGTCACAGGAAGTGATTTACAACATATTAAGGATCCCTGCTCTTCAGCACTGCATTCACTCGTTCGTTCATTCATTCATTCATTCATTCATTCATTCATTCATTCATTCTCTCTAGTGGCTCCCCTTATCCTGTTCTTCAGGCTAGGGAATCTCACCATCTTTAACTGCTACCCACTGCTTCTGTCCCCTGGTCAGCCATTAGGTCCTGGCAATTTTACTTCCCCAGGATGTCTCAGATTCCTGCCTTTGATGGCATAGTTGAAGCCCATGTTTATCTCCCATCTGTAGCATTTTGGTGTTGTCCTGATAGGGGCCCAGCAGTGCCATCAGAACCGTGCTTTTTAGAGGTGTGTTTGGCATGTACTTCTTTGTTTTGTTCATTTTGTTGAGTCTCTTGTTTCCGAGATAAAGTTCAAACTTGGCATGTCCACTTACCATGTACAAGGCTACTGACAATTAGACCCAGACTACCTCTGTGTCCAATATCTTACCCTTCGCCTCACATGGCTCTGGTGAGCAGCAGTGTTGGAGAGCAACTTCCTGTACTCCATCCCTGTCCTGCCTCTCCTCCTTCCTGATTTGTGCCTGCCAGCACCTTCCTCCCCAGTGCTGTCTGGCAGCCACCTATTTGCCCTAAGAAAGGAGCCCTACGTAATACTGCACACTCTGTCCCTGTCCTGGAAGCCCCACTTGTAAAGCATCATCTGACTGCTTCCTGCCTCTGCTGCTTCCCCTGAGGCCAAAACTGTCTTCATTCCTGTTATGGTTGCCTCCCAGCTTCTCCATTCTTCCTCCGCCTCAATGTAACATCTGGGGAAACCTTAAATTTTTCTTATTCATTTATTTTGCCTCATGTGTGCACATGTGTGGTGCCATGGTGCACATGTGGAAAGCAGAGGACAATTTGTGGGAGTTAGTTCTCTCCTTCCACTGTTGTGGGTCATCTGGGTTGGCAGCAAGTGCCTTTACCCACTGAGCCAACTCACCCTCCCAACCACCCCACCACCACCCCCCGCCACCACAGAGCTTTCTTTTAATTAGCTCTGTCTGCTTTCTTGAGGGGAGTCCTGTGGTAGCTTCCAGCTATTCCGAGTAGAAGCCTAGAAGCCTGGCACTGGACATATAAAGTACCATGTGCCCCAGCTCCTCACTGCTCTCTCACCTGAACTCTTGCTTCCCTGGCTATTCACCCCAAATCCTCCTCTTACAGTGGCAATCTTCCTCTTCCTGGAATGAGCCAAGCACACTCCTGCCTCCAAGCTTTTGTACTGTGGTCCCTTCACCTGGAGCTCTTCCACTCAGGTCTTTGCAGGGCTGGCATCCTCATTCTTTCATCACTCGGTCCTCCAGTCACTTTGCTAGAGAGATGTGAAATGGCCATACTTATCACAGCAGCTCAGTCTGATGGCAGCCCAGTTCCTCTAAAGCACCCATTGCATCTTAATCCGTTTAGTCATTTGTATCTGTCTCTCCCTCCCAGGATATAAGCTTGAAGAGAGTATGGGATGTTTTGTTCTCTTGCATTCCTGGAACTTAGTACTTTGTAGATGGTACAGGCTTGACTGGTCTTTAAGCCCCCAATGTCCTCTCCTTCTGTAACAGTGTGCTTGTACTTCTGACCTGGTAAGGTCTTCTTACTCCGTTACGTTCCATTCTGTCTGTGCAGTTAAAATATGAGATATTATCAGTAGGACCTAGCTCACTTTTATCAGCATATTTATAGGCTTTATCCAGTGTCTGGTGCTTAACAAGTGCTGGTTGGATGCTACATGAACACCAAGAGTAGCCTGAGCTGTTGAGTGAACAAATGCATGAAGCAACACTCTGTGTCCCTAGCAGATCTCTGGTTTCACCAAGCTTGCTGTGACAGCTGTAGCTGATCCTACATAGATAGGTCTTAAGAAGTGTGCTTCCTCTGGGTCCTGCTTGGCATCATACAGCTGGAGGCTGGGCCAAGTGAGTGTGTAGCCTTTTAGTGTTGGGATTGTTGCCAAGTTGCAAGTATTTTCAATAAAAATGATGTAGACAATATTATGAAGGACAGTGTGCAGGATGCTCCAGAGTGCACAGCATGAAGTGTTGCAGCAAAGGATGAGACAGCAGGTTATAGATGGATTCTCTTTAGACTGGGCCACTGACATTGTCAGGTGGAGGCGTGTCCAGGCTCCTTACAGGCAGTAAATTCTGTTCTCTGAAATGAAGATAGAGTTATATCTGGCCTCATTTGAGTTCACCTCCTGTAAATGAGTATCTCGCTCATTCAGCACCATGCCTCTCTTCTTGGAATGATGAAGTCATTTCAGGCCATCCCTTGGTAGGAGAGGAAAAAATAGAATTTGTATATAGTTCACTAAAATTGGCAAAGACAAAGCCTCACCTCTGGAGAGCCAGTGTTGTAGATTTCCCCAGCCGTTGGATAGGGCATGTATGTTGTACATTATGGCCACCATACCTTTCCAAATATTAAACTAAACATCATTCTTTATGCCCTAGAAGTATTCACAGATTTCAAGAAATATAGTGTGCAGCCAAATCAGCAATAATATGATTTCATGACTGTGTACTCCCTAGAAAAACTTTAACAGGATTAGTAAAAAAAAAAAAAAAAAAAAAATTACACTAACATATTTGAAAGTCTGCCAACAGCTGTTCCAAATTACTGTGTGCTATCTGATGTTCCTCATATACCTGTCTAAACGGAAAGTGAACCTGCTCGCCTGACAGGATGAACTCGGATTATTTAATGTTCGTCTCTTCTCCAAAGTTACTTGCTGTTCTTTCTGAGACAATTCATAACTAATGTCTGTAGCTGTTCTGTGCGTCAGGTACTAGATTAACCACTGTCTAAATAGTAGACGAGGACAGAGGACACGTTGGGGAGGCATTTTCCCATTCATCTTTGAGACTGCGGCAGAGTTAGCCTACTGTCATTAACTGTTCTCATCATAGAAAAGTTATCCTTGGTGTAACAGACACATCAAATTTAAATAAGGCAGAAGTTTTGGTGAGGATTGGTGACGATTCTGTATCATTTTATCGTATCATCAAGAATAATTTTCTGGGAAATGTTAGAATTGCCATGAAAAAAAGTATTAAAATAATTTTTCTTGATTTTTTTTTTCTGATCCAAAATAGTTTACATCTATTTTAGAAAATCGTGTAAATGCCAAAGGCCAAAAGTTAAAATATATAAAGTACATAGAATGTAGTGCTTTCAACTTTTAACCCCATTTTCTTCCTTTTTTTTTTTTTTGTCTTTTCAAAAAAAAATTAAAAATAGTAAGCTGTTAGCTTTGCTCTGCAAGCTTTATTTTTAAATATTTTATTTTTTTGAGATTCTATTACATTATTCCCCTTCTCTTTTCTCCCTGCAAACCGTCCAGTGTACCACCTACCTTTTCTCTCTTTTAAATGCATGGCCACTTTTTAATTGTTATCATGTGTATATGTGTAATTAATATATGTATGTTTATATTACATATATACACACACACACAACATGCATGTGTCATATACATAATATAGATTATTACTCATATATCTGAATTCATAGTAGCCTTTTATTAAAATAATTATTAATTCTATTTTTATTATATAGGTTACAAATATTTTTTAGTTAGAACTTCGTTATTAATTGTATGCTTCATTTTGTACAAATATTTTAAAAATATATGTACAAATCCACTAATCCCTTAAAAAAAGTCTTTGATATACTCCATCTGAAGCTTGGATACCACAAAATAGGTAAATGAGCTGTTTTTAGTTATTTAAACATAGTAATAGTTGTAGAACTTTATTTTTCCATCCTCCGTTCCCTTCCTTTCTCCTCTCCTTATTTTGAGATAAGATGTGGTTCCTTTATATTCTCTGCTTACAAGATTGTCTTTCTGGGCCGAGACACTAAGTTCTGGGTGGATCTCTGACAGTGCACAACAGTGTGTCACATGCAATATGCCACATGCCTCTGCCCTTTTCCGTTGCATCCATGACCATACAGAGCAGTAAGGCACATGTAATTTCCTGTTACATCCATGATCATATAGCACATAGGCTTCTGAGAGCAGGACAGGCGGACTATTTATTTATTGAATTCTTTTTCTCACATTCAGGCTTGATGAATTTGTTTTCCTTTTGTATACTTCCTGTAGAATCTTGCAGAATTGCACCCTCTCAGTGCTTAAATGAGCCAGAATGGGCTAGATTATGCTACAGTAGCAAACAGCTTATTGCCTGAGAACCCGAGTTTAGATCCCTAGTACCCATGTAGAAAACCAGGAGCCATTGCACATCTGTCTTCCTAATGCTGGGGAGGTGGAGACAAGTCAATCTCTCTAGCTCACTGGCCAGCCAGTCTAACCAATCAGTGAGAGACCCTGTCGGTGAGTGATTAAGGAAGATATCTGACCTTGATCTCTGGCTTCTGCACACATATGCACATAGTGCATGTAAATCTGCATGCACGCATGCATACACACACAGGAATGAGCATGTTACTTCCCTATGCATGAAGTCCTGAACAACACAGTGGTCTGAGGATAGTGAATGGGTTGCTATCCATAGGCTTTTCCTTGAGGACTCTGCCTAAAGCTGAGGAAGCAAGTCGGATTAAACTTTATAGGGGCATGTGTAAATCCTGTGCCAGGAAAGCCAGTACAATCCAGAGCTGTAGCAGTACATGTTTCTATATTAGGGTGGGATTTGTCTGAATAGCCCATTCCTGTAGAACTGCCTTTTGTAGACTATTCTGGGCACTAGTATTATAGTCATGAATCAAATTGTCATGGCTGGTGTGTTCATAGAACTTAGTGTATTTGCTTCCAGAGAGGTGAGTTTTCTTTAGGTGAATGCTAGTTCACCAGTAATTGAAAGGGGTTCAGTCAGATAGTTAAGATCACCCCCACTGGAGCCAGATAGACACTGTGGCCCAGAGGTTTACATCCTGGGCTGACATGTACCAAGGTGACTTGGGGCAAGCTTTCACAGTGCCTGGCTGCTTCAACGTTGTGTCTGTAAAACGGAGCTGATAGTGTGTGTAAAGGCATGAGAAATTAGCCAGTCTGGGTAAGTCAGGATGACACCTGGGCATGGAGAAAACATTTGACAGTAGACAATAATTAGTTTGTGAATAAAATCATATTTTCTGCAAAGTAAAAGAATGCAAGTGAGATTGAAGGCAGGGCAGTGTGGGTACAGGAAGCCTGGGAATTCAAAGGCCAAATTAATCTTATTTTTTTGTTTGTGTTGAAGATTATTAGTAGTTAGAGCTTCAACCTGACGTACTCATCAGTGAGTCTCCTGTCAGTTTTGTGTAGCTTTTTTCTTTAGACTGGCAAGATATGAACCCTACATGGAAAACCACTAGCTAGTTTAGTTTCTCCCTGGACTCTTAGAAGGAAAACAGACTTTTGGAAATAATAAGATGATAGCCATCCATACCCATTTCTCCCTTTGGTTTCGTTTTAGTGGCAGCTGAAATATCCTAAACTGGTTCTCCGGGAAGCCGGCAGTATATCTGAAGAGCTGCATAAAGAAGTCCCCGAGGCCTTCCTCACCCTGCATAAACATGGCTGCTTGTTTCGGGACCTGGTTAGGATTCAAGGCAAAGATGTGCTCACCCCAGTGTCTCGCATCCTCATCGGGGACCCAGGCTGTACCTACAAGTACCTGAATACCAGACTCTTCACAGTGCCCTGGCCAGTGAAGGGCTGCACCATCAACTACACCGAGGCTGAGATCGCGGCTGCCTGTCAGACCTTCCTCAAGCTCAATGACTACCTGCAGGGTGAGACCATCCAGGCCTTGGAAGAACTGGCTGTCAAAGAGAAGGCTAATGAAGACGCTGTGCCATTGTGCATGGCAGAGTTCCCCAGGGTTGGCATGGGGTCATCCTGTGATGATGAAGTGGACATTAAGAGCAGAGCAGCCTACAACGTGACTTTGCTAAACTTCATGGATCCTCAGAAAATGCCCTACCTGAAAGAGGAGCCCTATTTCGGCATGGGGAAAATGGCGGTGAGCTGGCATCATGATGAGAATCTGGTGGACAGATCAGCTGTGGCGGTGTACAGCTATAGCTGTGAAGGTACATACGTCTGCTGTGGGGGAAGGCATGCCTGGTGGCAGTGTGACCAGTGTCACTCATGCTCTGAAGATACACATGCATACACAGGTGTTTGTGTGTTGACTGTCCTTTCCTTTTCCAGCCTGTCTCACCAGTGTGTCTGCAGAGCAACCCTCTTCCCCATTTAAATGCTCGCTGGCTCATTGTTCCACTGTGTGCAGAATATTTCTGCATGTAAGCACTACTGTCATTTTGTCTTCCCATCGCCCAGGAGAGCAGCAGTCGGATCCATATAGCCAATTGCTGTTCTTTAATGCTCAGAGTAGGCTGTTCAGCCACCACAATTAGCTTGCTGAGAAAGAGCCTGGAAAACAGCAATCTGTCAAATCCTCCCCGGTTCTCACAGTGTACATTCTTGCCTTGCCAAAATGCTTCATTATGCCTGACATCACTATCTCAATGGTAGGGATCTGTCAGGTATGGATCTGTTCTTGGCTTCCTTTCATTTTTATAAGACCCTCCTTGGCAGAAGCAGTTAAGTAGCTTCTGTAGATAGACATTCCAGTTTCTTGCCTTTTTAAAGGTTCTGACAATGTCTTGCAACAGAGAGCTGTAGATTGCCAACTGTGTGACCTAGCCATCTTTTCCTGCTATTGTGTTCTATTTATCAAGGGTCCCCAGGAGTTTCTGGATACAGGGTTACAAACAGGTACTGAGGGCGTGGAGCATAGCAGGACCACCTGATTATTAGACAAAGGAATGCATAAATTCCCTTGTAAAACTAGAGTACTAAGCCATTTGAGAGAATGAACTAGAACTTTTAAGGTCATTGTTTCTGATAGTTCCTTTATTGATTTTTGTTTTGTTACTTGTTTTTTGTTTGCTTAAATGCCTATTTTGGAAAAGCGATTTAAGAGAAAAAAAAATCCATCTCATGGTACTCTTACATTTCTTCATTTTTCTAGTCTCAAAATTTACTTCAGCATAAATAATATCTTTTCTAAATTTACCTTGGACTTTCAGTCTAAAACAAGGGACAAAGTTAAGTGGTTGGAAATTTCACCAGTTTCCCTGGCATCTCAAATAGTAGTGGCAACCTAAAAACCCCTTGAAGTATTCCATGACTGTCCTAGAGGGACAAGCCAAGTCCTCCGATCTTGGATATGGCCTGCTTGGGATTTGAGAACCCTCCAGGGACAACAGAGTTGGTTAGCTGTTTCTGAGGAGGAAGCTTTCAGAACCTGCTACAGTGCCTGTGATAGCTTCGGCTGCCTCTGTGCTCTACCCTGCTCCCTTGTTCTCAGTTCAATCAGCCTATTGTACTTCCCTTTCATGGGTGATCAAGAAAGGAATCTAGAATTTTAACAAACAGCATCTACGAAGCACCTGTGATTGGGAGTAGTTAAGACTGGTAAAGAGTAAAAGTGCAAATTGTATGTACATAGAATTGATGGGCTCATGGAACGGCTCAGGGGGTAAAGGCACCTGTTGCTGTGGTCCCTAGAACCCACATGGCGAAAAGGAGAAAAGTGACTCCTGCAAACTGCCCTCTGGCCCTTATATACAGGCTGAGGTGTATGTGTGCTCGCACGCGCATACACACACACACACACACACACACACACACACAAACACACACACACAGAATAAATAATAAAATCATAACAAAATCCTTTTAAAGAAATATTTTTCATGCAGTTACTAGCTGGAAGAGAGGCTCCCAGGATTCCAGTCTGGAAGAGCAGTGCAGTGTGATTCCTTTGTTCTCCTAATCTCCAAGATGGCCAGACTCTATCAAGTAATAGTGACAGCGCTTCCCCGAGCTCCTGCTGTGGCCAGGCACTTTAAGTACTTCACATGTTTTAGCCAGTTCCATCTTGTTCACAATACACAGTGACTAAAGTGCTGTCATGCTCCATGGAAAGCTGTTTTGATCAATGGCCACACATATGATGTTAGCTCTATAAACTTGTAATGGATCTGAAAATTTTCTATTATCTGGTGACTTGGTAATATCACAGTCAGTGAGTTACTAACTAATGCATGTGAATAAACCTGTGGTGCTGTCTGCCTTGCAGGAATAGCATATTCAGTTCTGTCCATACCCCTGTGACTGCATGGGTCACGTATTTACTAGGTTTTTTTTTTTTTTTTTTTTTTTTTTTGGTGCGTCCTCTATTTATTAAAAAGAAAGTTACTTCTAAACTGTATGCTATGGTAAGTGAGCAGTTGCTTCATTAACCTCATCTTAACACCATTTCTTAAGTGCATCAAGAGGCTGTATGAAGTGGTTGACCTGCACCATCTGTGCTTGGCAGATTTCACTCGGTGCTTTTCCTACAGGGATAGAAATCCCAAGGATATAATTCTCAGAATGCATCTCCATTGTTAAGGGATGCATTATAGTCCTTGTACTGCTTGTATTTAACAGATGAGGAAACTGGGCACTTGTTGACAGCTCGTAGGAGCAGGGCTAGAGACCTTTGGCTGTACAGGGTGGATTCCTAAGCTGTGTGACTTAAAGGGCATGCATTTCCTATCTGAGCAATTAGCTACTTCAAGAATGAGGGTTTTTAAAATGTTCCACTGTCCAGTTTCTAGAGTGGTTAAGGGAATATTCTGCTAGCCTTCCTTTCTGGTCCTTCTCATCTCCTTTTGCCTGTGCTTGTCCTCTGTGTTTATACTTTCCAGCACACACACTTGGGGACTGGAGCGGGTTGGATGAGTATGGTCTGTGAAGTGCAGCCATTCTCTACCCTTCTCTGTGTCTGTGTAGTTTAGAGTCAGGTGGCACACAAACCAAGGGCCTTGAAATGTCCCAGTGATTGTATTTCTTCCAAGTGACAAATGTGTGTAGCTCTGGCCTCTTTCCCTCTCTGCTAGAACTGTGGTAAGGTGGACTTTAAGGAAGCCTTTGGATTCAAGTTCTGCTTAGGGTTCAGTAGGGCTAGAAGAGGTTACAGCATGTAGAAACATCGAAGCCGGACTGTTTTCCATGACCTTTAAAGTGTTTAGTGCTAAAGATGTAGGTCTTTGCTAAAGAGTCTGGACAGCATGGGGCCCCAAGGACATGTCCCATCTCTCCTTTTCTTGACAGACTGGCTGAGGTTAACCGTGATATTGAGATTGTGATTGTGGAGTGATACCACATTGTTTCTGGATGAGACTCTTCGAATCCCTTGGCAGGAAGCAGCTCCACAGAGCTGTGTTACTCAGTGAAGGTGCCAGCCGGAGAGTGTGGCTTACCCATGGAGTGCTTCCCAAGGTGCATTGGGAGCTCAGATCAGAAGTGATTATTTTCTGCTAAACTTATATGAGCTGTAGCTTAAGGTCTTTGTGGACTTGCTCTCACTACTTTTTTCCTGGGGAATCTTCTGTAGATTTATAATGAGCTGATCATTGCTCTTTGCTCTGTTTTCATGAGTAGAAGCCGTTGAGAAGCAATTTGTATAGGATACGTGTAATTATATTCTAAATTTATTGGACTTCACATGCATTTCTAGCTAATAGATATCTCTAGAAAGGAGATTGAAATGGTACAATTTTTAATCAGGAATGGCTTCGGGGAACCATATGTAAATAGGAAGGGTATTTGATTATCATATATTCCAGGCTTGGTGGCAATTGCTTGTTACTCCTAGTTATAAAAAAAAATGAATTTTAGCAGGGAAGGCACTAAAACTCATAGTTAATATTGTTCAATGCCTTGTTTTATGATTGGAACACCTTTGAAGGTGCCACTCAGACTTAACTTTTGATTATCATTTTGTGCATGTGAAGCCTGTGTGAGTGAGTGTGTGTGTGTGTGTGTGTGTGTGTGTGTGTGTGTGTGTGGTGCATCTACAGGAGTGTTCAGATTAGCTGCCTGTGTGTGTGCAGGACTAGATATTTTCTTCTACCACTTTCCCTCTTGCTGCCACGAGACAAGGTCTGTCAGTGAGCTGGAATCTCATTGCCTCCATTGGGAGCTACACAGTTACATGCTTACTAGAGGTTTGAACTCAGGTCCTAATGTTTGTAGAACAAGCGTTCTTATCCACTGAGCCACCTGCCCATCCCTTTATAACCACTTTTGGTTCTTTTCTTTCTTTCTTTTTGGTCTGGAAGGCACATTCCCTGTCATATTGTCTGTATAAGAAAATTGATGCATAAATTTTTAACTAGTGCCCAGTTTAATGGATTCTCTTCATTAGTTTCTGGCTATCTCCTGAAGCACCAAGGTGGCCAATGCATGTGTTCTCGTCTAATGTGTGATAGTCTAGAAAGTAACTTCCTTAGGACTTCAGGGCTCTGATTTGAGGAAAGACTAGGAAATTATCATGTATTCACCAATTGTCTAGTAGTTCATCATGCAACAGTGAGCAAGACAGATATCTGTACCTCTGTTGAGGATGTGGAGGGCCTGTTATCATACAATGTATTGGGCTTGAACCTTGAATGAATTGGGTGTAGAACAAGACAGCTGAAAGAGGCTGCTATGGTAACCCTGATGATGGGACATATTAGGACAGGCAGAGTTGGTGATATGTAGTAGGGTAGCACCCAAATGAGAGTAGCAGGGCATCGGTGCCCATGGTGGAGAGGCCAGCAGAGGAGTCCCGGTCAGGAGAAGGCCAAGACACCAAGGGTGGAGAGGTCTCTGTCCTAGAAGCTTTAGTCAGGTTAAATGCCAGGCAGTAGTCTCCATATGTTGTTATGTTCTAGTACCCTTGCGAAGCCATCACTACAGTCATGGTAGCTATTGTACCATGACCCCAGGGGTGGTTCTGTGTCCTTGATGAGTCCTTGATGCTGTGTTTGGGAATCTATGGCTCTGCTTTCTGTCACTAGTTGCCATTTTCTAAAATTTACACAAGTGAAATTATATATTCTTTTAATTGGGGCGGGTCTGACTTCATTCACTTAGCATAATTATTTTGAGGTTTATCGATAATTTTTGTGTATCAATAGTCCAGTCTCATTTTACTATCTTGTCTATTATGGTACAATTGTATGCATGTTAAGCTGTTACATAATTTACT